CAAATCGTATCCCATTACTAAATCTGCCATTTGTACTAATATTAACTGAGAATGTATCTAATTAAGTACCTAATAATATGTTCAAATGTACTGCTCAAATATGACCTATATCATAATAATGTAAGAATTAGTATTAGTCTGCCGGAAGTGCCTAGGCACGATAGTGGCCATCTTTGTAATTAAAATCTTATAACATGTAAACTACACAGCCCGTAATGCTATGCATAGTATAAGTGGCTTTGGCATGCTGCTCTTATCTGTATTTTTTTGTACCTCTGTATGTGTGCTCAAATTGATAATAAATAAATAAAAATAAATTGTAAGCTTTACAAGAAAATAAATATTTGTGTTTGTATTGTACGTATTTGTATTTGTAGTGTGAACTCCATGATGGTGAATCTCACAGTTTAGCCATGTGTCTTACATGTGTCTTACAGATGTACTGGCCTGCTAATTATATTATACTAAAATTATGTGACATATGATATGTAATATTTTAAAAAATCAGGCTCATATATTTTTTTTTTTTCAACAAACCGGCCGTATCCCACCGAGGCAGGGTGGCCCAAAAAGAAAAACAAAAGTTTCTCTCTTCAAATTTAGTAATTTATACAGGAGAAGGGGTTACTAGCCCTTGCTCCCGGCATTTAGTCCCTCTTACAACATGCATGGCTTACAGAGGAAGAATTACTGTTCCACTTTCCCATGGAGATAAGAGGAAATAAACAAGAACAAGAACTAGAAAGAAAATAGCAGAAAACCCAGAGGGGTGTGTGTATATATGTTTGTACATGTATGTGTAGTGTGACCTAAGTGTAAGTAGAAGTAGCAAGACGTACCTGAAACCTTGCATGTTCATGAGACAGAAAAATGGACACCAGCAATCCTACCATCATGTAAAACAATTACAGGCTTTCGTTTTACACTCACTTGACAGGACGGTAGTACCTCCCTGGGTGGTTGCTGTCTACCAACCTACTACCTAGGGCTCATATATATATATATACAGTGGACCCCCGCATAACGATTACCTCCGAATGCGACCAATTATGTAAGTGTATTTATGTAAGTGCGTTTGTACGTGTATGTTTGGGGGTCTGAAATGGACTAATCTACTTCACAATATTCCTTATGGGAATAAATTCGGTCAGTACTGGCACCTGAACATACTTATGGAGTGAAAAAATATCGTTAACCGGGGGTCCACTGTACTATATATTTTTTAACACACTGGCTGTCTCCCACCAAGGCAGGGTGACCTGAAAAAGAAACACTTTCACCAACATTTACACCATCACTGTCTTGCCAGACATGCGCAGATATGACAGTCTAGTTGTAACTCTAAACATCAAATATCCCAAACTCTTCGTTTACAGTGCAGGCATTGTACTTCTCACCTCCAGGGCTCAAATTCAGCTAACTGGTTTCCCTGAATCCCTTCACAAAATGTTACCCCACTCACACTCCAACAGCTCATCAAATCCCAAAAAAACATTTGTCTCCACTCACTCCTGTCTAACATGCTCACACATGCCTGCTGTGTGTCCAAGCACGTTGCACAGAAAACCTCCCTTGCCCACTTCCTCCATCCTTTCCTAGGATGACCCCTAGCCTGCCTTCCCTCCACTACAGATTTATACACCCTCCAAGTCATCCTATTTTGCTCAATCCTCTCTAAATGACCAAACCACCTCAACAACCCCTCCTACGGCCTTCTGGATAATATGCACTTTAAGTAACTCCACACCTCCTCCTAATCTCCAAACTATAAATTCTCTGCATAATATTTATACCACACATTGCCCTCAGACATGACATCTCCACTTCCTCCAGCCTCCTCCTCCTCCTCTCTGCTGAATTCATTATCCAAGCTTCACACCCATATAAGAATGTTGGTACCACTATACTTTCATACATTTTCTTCTTTGTCTCCATGGATAATGTTCTTTGTTTCCTCAGATACCTCAATGTACCAACCACCTTTTTCCTTTCATACATACATAAACTTCAAATTACAAAATCTTATCCTATAATTAAATGGAATTTCTCTGATTTGTGAAGAATATTCCCGAGTAGATGTCAAGATGTATTGCAATACCTTTATATCAATAATAGGTAGTACTTAAGTTATTATAGGTAGTAGGTTGGTAGACAGCAACCACCCAGGGAGGTACTACCGTCCTGTGGTAGTAGGTTGGTAGACAACAACCACCCAGGGAGGTACTAACATCCTGCCAAGTGAGTGTAAAATGAAAGCCTGTAATTGTTTTACATGATGGTAGGATTGCTGGTGTCTTTTGTCTGTCTCATTAACATGCAAGATTTCAGGTACATCTTGCCACTTCTACTTAAACTTAGGTCACACTACACATACATGTACAAGCATATATATACACACCCCTCTGGGTTTTCTTCTATTTTCTTTCTAGTTCTTATTCTTGTTTATTTCCTCTTATCTCCATGGGGAAGTGGAACAGAATTCTTCCTCCGTAAGCCATGCGTGTTGTAAGAGGCAACTAAAATGCTGGGAGTAAGGGGCTAGTAACCTCTTCTCCTGTATATATTACTAAATGTAAAAGGAGAAACTTTCGTTTTTTCCTTTTGGGCCACCCCGCCTCGGTGGGATACAGCCGATGTGTTGAAAGAAAGAAAGAAGACTTAAGTTATAGAAACATGACAGAAGTGTTGCCTCTACTCTGTGTCAAGCAACACTTGAGCCACCAAACTTTCTTTTCCTTCAATATTTTATGACTTGAGTAAACTTGGTGTTTTTCTGCAATTTACAGTGGACCCCCGCATAGCGAACTTAATCCGTGCAAGAGGGCTGGCCGTTATGCGAAATGTTCGCTATGCGAATTAATTTTCCCCATAAGAAATAATGGAAATAAAATTAATCCGTGCAAGACACCCAAAAGTATGAAAACAAAAATTTTACCACATGAAATAGACATTTTCCTACACACAAAGAGAAGGATACATGCACAATAGTAGAGTAGTACATGCACAATATATATTGTGCATGTACTACTCTACTAAATGAAGAATAAATGACACTTACCTTTATTGAAGATGCAGCAATGACTGATGAGACACTGTGTCCTGGGAGTGCCTTTTCCTCCTGAGTACTGTAGGTCCTGTTTGGTATTTTCTTCCAGAACAGGCCTTATCACACTGTGTATGTCACTACGATTCTTAAATCTCTCAAACCAACCTTTGCTGGCTCTAAATTCACCAATATGAGCACTAGTTCCAGGCATTTTCCCTGTTCACCTGGGTGTTAGTCGACTGATGTGGGTTGCATCCTGGGAGACAAGATTAAGGACCCCAATGGAAATAAGTTAGACAGTCTTCGATGACACTGACTTTTTTGGGTTATCCTGGGTGGCAAATCCTCTGGGGTTAATTGTTTCTTGGTATTCTCAATAAGCCACACCAACAACGGTGGTACAGCAGCAGCAGCAGCAGCAGCAGCAGCAGCAGACGATGCTACAGCAGCAGCAGCAGCAGACGATGCTACAGCAGCAGCAGCAGACGATGCTACAGCAGCAGCAGCAGCAGCAGACGATGCTACAGCAGCAGCAGCAGACGATGCTACAGCAGCAACTGACGATGTTACAGCACCAGCAGACGATGCTACAGCAGCAGCAGCAGACGATGCTACAGCAGCAGCAGCAGACGATGCTACAGCAGCAGCAGCAGACGATGCTACAGCAGCAACTGACGATGTTACAGCACCAGCAGACGATGCTACAGCAGCAGCAGCAGCAGCAGACGATGCTACAGCAGCAGCAGCAGACGATGCTACAGCAGCAGCAGCAGACGATGCTACAGCAGCAACTGACGATGTTACAGCACCAGCAGACGATGCTACAGCAGCAGCAGCAGACGATGCTACAGCAGCAGCAGCAGACGATGCTACAGCAGCAGCAGCAGACGATGCTACAGCAGCAACTGACGATGTTACAGCACCAGCAGACGATGCTACAGCAGCAGCAGCAGCAGCAGACGATGCTACAGCAGCAGCAGCAGACGATGCTACAGCAGCAGCAGCAGACGATGCTACAGCAGCAACTGACGATGTTACAGCACCAGCAGGTCGGTGATACGTACTCCACTTTCATACTTATCAATGATCTCTTTCTTCATTTCAATGGGTATTCTTACCCTTTGAGGTGTACGGTTGGCACTAGAAGCTTTCTTGGGGCCCATGGTCACTTATTTTCCAGAAACAGCACCGAAAACACTGTAATAATACGAAATATTCCGAGTGTATGCTTGGATGTTACCGCGGAGGCTGGCTGGTAAACAATGGCACGGGCGGCACATGTGAGGCTGGCTGAGGGCGCACATTGGACGCGTCTCGGACGAAGGCCGCTGAGCGGGTTTTTGTCCACTATGCGGGGCAAAATTTTAGCGAACAAAGCGTCCGCTATGCGGATTGTTCGCTATGCAAGGCGTTTGCTATGCGGGGGTCCACTGTATTTAAAATATGGCAATCCATACTACTACTGCATATTTTATTATTCTCTTGTAATACCTCAACTATCTCCCAGACCTTATGCTGACCTTTTTTTCTCTAATATCTTAAATATATATAATCTCTTTTAAAGTATTTCTTTTATCTTTGAAATATTGTACCTCTTCTAGATTTTAAAATCCTCTACAGTCCATATCTGGACTATCACCTTAGATTTTACTGCTTCTTTCTAAATGTTTTGTTCCACTTCAAAGTTTTAGTTTGTTTGAAGTGACGACTCAACTTGGGACCAAAACAGTCACCTACTCCTCACTTTTTCTAATTGCTAACTTGTATTTTTACCTGATAATTGTGAATACATAATTTAAAGAATATAAAGGCAAAATACCATGACTGGAACAATACACAAATAACCTGTGTGACTAGTTAACAGTCCAAAGTCTGACCAAAATGTTGTCATAAGCTTCATTCTCCTAGTTATTTGTACATAATTTAACTAAAAAGTTCAGTCAGAATTTCTTACCTGGGCATAAGCCATTTTTGTAACCTTTTCCAGGTCATTTTGTGCACCAGTAGTCACTCGATTAAACACCAAAGATTCTGCAACACGCCCGCCTAATGCCATACACATCCTCTCAAATATCTATAATGAATGTAAATTTATAATTAATTGTAATCACTTAAGGTGTGATGTCTCCATGGTTGTTTAACATATTTATAGGTAGAGTTGTAAAATCAGTGAATGCTAGGGTTTTATGGACAGGTGTGGGATTAAAACACATAATATTATAGTAGATTTTTCCTGATGGTGTGGTTGCGAAGGTTGATGGAGGAATTTGAGAGGCTATGCAAAAAAATTAAATTAAAAGTGACAGGAAAAAGCAAGGTGATAATATTAAAAAAAAATCTAGGCAATGATAGAATGGATATCAGACTGGAAGAAGGGAATATAGAAGAAGTACATGTGTTCAGATATTTGGGAGTGGACCTGCCAGTAAATGGGTCTATGAAGATGAGGTGAACCACAGAAAAGATAGAGGTAAAGTGGGTGATGTGATGAGGCCTTTGTAGAGGTAAAATAGGGAAACGTACCATATTAATGTATAGTGGTATGTAGGTTTTAAACACTGCAGCAAGGAAAAGGCTGGAAATGGTGTTTAAGGCCAATGTGAATATTAGATGCAGGTAACTCAAAGCTTGGGGATTAGTAGGTCTGTGGGTTACCAAAAGTTTAATTTAGAAGGTTGAGAAGGGCTTGTTGAGATTTTGGAAGACACAAAATACAAACACAAAACATTTTATTGGAAACATTTCAGTCCTGGGACCTTAGTTGCTTCACAGTTGGAATGACCAGGTTCACAGGTCAAAATTTTTGAATAAAATGCCCTAATGTTTCCATTTTGTGTTTTTGTCCAACAACCTGTAGGGTATCACATACCATTTTTCCTAGCTGTTGAGATGGTTTGACCATTCAGTGATGCTGAAGCAAAATAAAATGACTGGGAGGGTATATAAATATGGGGTAAAGGGAAGAAGGGTTAGTTGCCCCAGGAAAGGCTGCAAGGAGGGCTAAAAGTTATTCTGAGTGTCAGGGAGGGTTGAACATCTAGCAAGCTTGTGTGAGCACATTAAGTTGGAGTGGAGGCAAGTGGTTTTTATGATTTGACATTCTGTTGGAGTGTGAGCAAGGTGACATTTATGAAAAGATTCTGGACACCATTTAGCAGGACTAGAGTCCTGGAGATGAAAAGTACAGTGCCTGCACTCTGAAGGAGGAGTGAGGATACTGTAGCTCAGGTCATCTGAACTGTGATGTCAGCACACTTCTGGAAAGGCAGCAACTGAATGAATGACAGTGAATGTGTTTTATCTTTTATTATTTTTTTAGGGTCACCTTATCTTGGTAAAAGATGGCTAGAATGTTGAAAAAAAGGGGAAAAAGATAGACAAAAATAAACCAGAATTAAATTAAAATAAAACAACGTACTGTACTTAAAAAGATTTTATATGCAAACACTGGGCACTCTCATTAAGAAGTGAGATAAGAGACAGCCACAAAAAGGGACCAGATATGGTCCCTTTTTGTGGCAGATCTTGAAGTAAACTGCTCAGTTTAGTGAAAGAACAGATTTGGTAAGGAGTTCAATTAATAACTAGTTAAAAACTGTATTACAGTAAAGGCTTCCTAAATAATGGCAAAAAACATAAAAAAGTAATGTTAAACTAAAAAGCAAAGATTTAAATGGGAGGGGTGAGGATATTTGGTGTTTGGAAGAACATCTGAACTGTCGTATTTACATCCCTCTGGCAAGATAGTGATAGCGTGAATGATGGCGAATGGCGAAATTGCTTCTTTTTTCACCATCCATGCTTCACACCCATGTAAGACTGTTGGTACCACTATACTCTCGTACATTCCCTTCTTTGCCTCCATGGATAACATTATATATAGTTTTAAATAAAAAAAATTATCAATGTTTTAGCATACAGGTCTCTGGATTCCACATGATCAGATGATAAGCTTTATTTCATCCTACACATTCTGGGTGCTTTACTTGTTAGTACTGGTCTATAACATACAGTAATAAATTAGGACTTTATTCTTTCTTTGATTACTGTCAACAAGATTACTGAGGCAGTATTTCAATTATTATTAAACAAATGACTGTATAATTAACTCTTCTGTTTACCTCCTTCTGTGTGTAGAGCTTCTGATCCTTTGGTACATATTGAGCAAATCCTAGTGCCTGATTGGTTCTAGGAACAATGGTGACCTTAAGGAGGGCATCTGTGTGTTCAAGCAACCAGCCAAGCAGAGCATGACCAGACTCGTGGTAAGCAACAACTCTTCGCTCCTCTGGTGACAGTGC